CCGCCCAGCGCCGCAGCCGCCTCATGGCTCGTTCATAATCCTCCGGGTCCGGGGGCTGCGGCTGAGCGGCGGCGCGGGCGGAGGCGGGACGCGGGCGGGGGCGCGGGCTGCGGAGCCGCGGGCGGGGGCGCCGGCCCGGCGCGGGGCGAGGCTGGCGGCGGGGAGGACGCCGGGCTCAGCGCGCTCGGCCGCGGCCGTCCCGGCGGGGCCGGGTTAAGAGCGGAGCGGCGAGCACGTGAGCCCAGGGCCCGCCCCCGCCCCCCGGGGCCTCCCCAGCCGGGCTGGGCCCGGGCCGCCGCAACGGGAGGACAAAAGAGGCACCGCCCCGGGGCCGGCCTTCTCCCACCGCCTCGGCCTTCCGCGGCAGGTGCGGGCCGGTCGCGCCCGGTCCCCATCCCGCGACCCCCTCCTCGGCCACCCCTTGCTACCGGGTCCATCAGAGTTGTAGGGGGAGGGTGGCAAGGTGCCCAGGGACCCCCGAGCTCCGGCCCGGTGATTGCCAGTCCGGGCACCCGCGGGATCGAGGTGCGGGGGCGTGGCTGCCCCAGACCAGGTTCACCCCTGGAGCGATGTTCCCAGGAGGCCGCTTCCCCCGGACATAGCCCGGAGACCCCCCAAATCCCGTGTTAACCGAAGGCTTTGGAGCCAGAAAGGTCAGGGGCTGGGCTGAGGGCAGAGGCCCACTTGGCTGAAATCCCGCCAGGGGCCTTTGGGACCTCTCCTCCTCCTCCTCGCAGAGATGGGCACCGCGGGGCCCTCCCGTACCCCCGGTCCCCTTCCCTTTCCATCTGGCAGGCCCTACCTGTCTGCAGGTGCCGCTGCCTCTAGAGCAGGGACCCAGCACTTGCTGTCACCGAACCACCAGGACAGGGTGGCCTTTCCGTCCGGGCTCCTTGGTCCTTCACCGGGGCATTGCAGTCCTCCCCGCTGAACACCATGTTCACCAGCCAGATCAGTTACACAATGTCCGCACGCTCCATTTCTGCCCCTCCCTTGTCAGCCCGAATCTTGGAGGAGCAGAGGATACCTGTGGGGCCCCCTAGCTTTCCCTCTGAGGGCAGAACAGGTTGCCCTGCCTGCAAACCACCTGCCTCCCAACTGCCATTAGAGCTGTCCCGGCACCGCAGCCCAGCTCCCCGGTCCCTGGGCAGCATGGGTCCGCAGACTGGGGGCTTGGATCTGACCTCTGCAAGGGATCCCAGGATCCAGAGACCTGAGAGGGGGTGGGGAGGTGGCAGAGAGCAGGTCCCACTGGTAAGGCCCCCACCCCGACCTTGTACCCAAAGCCAGAGACTCCTTGAATCCAGCCTGGGAGACACATGTCATTGAGGAACAGGAGTGGAGCAAGGGATCCCCTTCCTGGGTCCTCTGCCCTGATGATCCAGGGCCTCCACCATCAGGAATGGGGAGCTGCCTCTCGCTGGGATAGCCACTCCTGCTCTATTTTAGGTCCAGGAGAAGTGAGAAGGCGCTTTCCTGGGAGGCACCGACGTCAGTGCTGGGAAAGGGGACATCCCCCTTCCGACCACCTGCCACTTCAGGCCCAGATGCCCAGCAAGGCTGAGCCCACTGTCCCTTCACTCTGGAAACTTCTTGGAAACCTCTAAGGGATAAGGGAGCTCTCAGGGACGAGGACCTACTATGTGACATTCCCTGGTAATCCACAACCACCCAGGAGGGAGAGATTGTGCTTCTCATTGTACAGGTGGGGAAACTGAGGCTCTGAGAGGCTGCTCTAGCTTCCCAAGGTCACACAGCCAGCTGGTCAGTGAGAGTTCCATACTCCAGGGTCCCACCCCTCTCTGGCTAGCCCTATCCCCGCCTCTGCCTTCTGTCTTGGACCTAGAGGAGACTGGTCCATCGATCCCACCCCCTCCCCACGCACACATCGCCAGGGTGAGGGGGTGTGCCTGGTTCCAGGGCCAAGTCACGAGCCCTGACCCCATGTGCTGCCCAGAAGGGTAGGTGGGCTTGTCATTTCACAATGGAGGGCCCTGGGCCTGGGGCCGTCTAGGCCTCCTTCTCCCACCTGCCCAAGACCACACAGCAAGCCCACTGTGGTCTGGGCTTCCAAGGCTGAGACATTCCTACCACTTCCTCGGCCCTGGTTCCTCAGGCTTCTTGTTGGGGAGACCTTCATGGACCCCCCCAGAGTGACTTTCCTGTGGTGGCATGCATTCTGGGCCAGCTCCAGAGGAGGCCCAATCTTATGGCCCTAGGCCCCCAAGAGTTGCTTATTTTCCTGGGCTCCCCAGCTCTAAGCAGGTCCAGCAGGGCATCTCGGCCCTCCCCTGACCCCTCCCCACTCCCCAGCCCCAGGCCCCCATCTTGTCTTCCATGTCACCCCTGCTACAAGCTGCACAAATCTCCCAAACCAGAAGCCTGATTCCTTCACCCACCTCCCCTCCTGAGACTGGGGGCTCTGGAGACAGCCTTTCCCCAAACCCAGGGTCCCTGGGGGAAACCCCCCAAGCCCACCGTGATGGGGGGCTCCTTTGGCCCCTCCACCCCATGGCTTGTTTCCCCCAAGAGGAGGCCTAAGAACTCTAAATAGAGGCTGGTGGCCCGTTTCTGTCACGATGTCACCTTCAGGGCCACTGCTGCTGAGGGAGTCATTAGGCTCTGGTCCCCAGTCCCCATGAGGTGCTCCCGCCGCCAGGAGGTCCGGGGCCCGCTGCCCCTGCAGTTCTCCCTGCCTTTCAGTCAATTCTTCCCCTGAGGGTCCTGCACAGGGTCCAGGCTGGGTTGGTGTGGAATCGAGATAAGAAAACTGAGTTTCAGGGATTTGCCTAAGGTCACAGAGTGGCAGGGCCCATATTTGAACTCAGGCCTCTCCAGCCTAAAGGCTTATACTACAGGGTTCATGGAGAATGTGGAACATAAACCTGAAGAGTGGGGCATTCTCGTTCTCGTCTAGGGGCATTCCAGGTCAGGGACCGACAGCAAGACTCACGGAGGCCAGAGACAAGGGGGTCAGCCTGGCGGGAAGGGACGCGGGGGCGGTCACGGCACAGACTACCAGGGAGCTGGGTGGGTGTAAGGGGTGGGCAGTCAGCAGGGAGCGTGATCGGGGGACCTGGGACTGGTCGGAGTGGCCAAGGGGGCGGGAGTTGGGAGAATGCAGGACACATGTTGGAGCAGGAGCCAGTCTGACGAGGAATGGGGGCCTTGGGAGCTGGTTGGTGGTGACAGTGGGACAGGAAGGGCATGAGGGCTCTGTGGGCGGTCACAGCATCTTATTATCGGGAGGAGGAACCTTTGAAATCATCTCATCCAAGCTCCTCACTTAGGCAGGGAAACCGAGGCTCAGAGTGGTAAAGGGACTCGCCCGAAGTCCCCGTGTGGGTTGGGGTGCTGGCCAGGTCTCCTGCCTCCCTGGTCAGTGCAGGAGAAGATGAGGATCCGGAAGGAGGCCGTGGGTGGAGCCACCAATCCACGTCAAACTTGGAGAAGTGAGGGGAGAACAAAGGTCCCAGACCCTCCTCCAGGGAAGCAGTGAGGGCAGAGGGCTCATTAGAGCCCCGGAGCTACCCGGGGTGGCCACCTCAGGTCCCTGCTGCATGAGCGAGCACACTTGGTAAGGAAAAGGGGGACCAGGCTGATCTGGGGCCACTGGGAGCAGGAGCCAGGATTCGAAAGGGTAGGAAAGGAGAAAAGGAACCTGACTTTGGAAGTTAGCAGGTTAGCCAGGGACCTTGGGATGGACAACCCCGGAAGTTTCCACGATGGCAGTGGGTGTGGGGGAGGAGGCGCAGATGAGGAGGCCGTGGCTACAGACCAAGACGTGGCTGAGAACAGGAGGGAGCATTCCTCAAGCTCCGGGATCGATGCGAGTGTCTTCCAGGCTGCAGCTGTCGGGCAGCGCAGGCAGGGTGGCAGGTCTGGGGTGAGCAGGAGGGCCGGCCGCACGGCCGGGGTGGGCCGGCCAGCACAGGCATAGCCTGACTGGGGGCGGAGAGGGAAGGACACTGCTTCCTTTGCGTCAGGCGTGGGAGAGGGACTGAGAGCAGCATGAGGCGGTGCTTGCTGAGTCTGAGCTGAGGTCATTGGCTGAGAGTGAGGGAGTAAAAGGACAGTCCCCATGTCGAGGAGCCACTGAGGGGCCCAGTATGTCAAATAGCACCCCTGTCTCGGGCCCCCTCTAAACTTGTATCCTGGAGGCTGGAATTGAGACCTGGCTGAGATAGGATGTCCAAGGTCAAAATGGTTGAGATGGGAGGGGAAGGCCACAAAGTTGGATGTGAGGTCCTGGGCACACGCCGACCAGGGTGTCAGAACCCAGTCCTGGTCGGAGCTGGCAGCATGCGAGGGCACAGGGGATGAGGTCTGAGACAGAGGTGGGGGGACGTCTTGTCCGGAGCAGCAGTGTTGTGGGAGAGGCCCTGGGGGACGAGGCCTCCCCATGTGTCACAGCAGGGGCCGGAAGGAAGCCCTCGTCTGGGCACTGGGGAAGGGGACAGGGCCCTCAGCAGGGTCTCAGCAAAGGAGTCTCCGAGGTGGTGGGTGGTGAGCACGCCCTCCACAGGGGACGGCTCCTCTGCCAGCAGCCAGGCGAGTGACCTGAGACTGGACAGGCCTCCGGGTGGCGTGCACTCACACAGGTTCTCGCTTGCAGGAGGCTTCTGTCCTGCTGGACGGCCATTCTGCCCACATCCTCTGGGCCCTCAGCATGGCCTCGGGTCACTGGGGGCAGGGGACAGCCGGGCCCTCTGCTTTCCAGCCCCATCTCTTTGCTATTTGTTATTAACAAATTTATTTACAGTTCCTGAAGCAAGATTAATTGTGAGGTTTAACAGGAATAGCATAAAAAGGCCAAACACGACCGCCATGAGGGCTGTGCACACAGTTGCTCTATTTCCAAACTAACAACTCAGGTCCTCACCCGCAGCTAGGCCCCCCTTTCTGCCTCCAAAATGGGAACAGAATAGCACCAGGCTTCTGGTAGCTTCAACATTTAAAGAGACAAACACACTGAGACAGAGAAGGGTGAGAACCACAGTACAAAATGTAATAAAAAAAAAAGTGGCTAAAGAATCGATAGCAAACCCATCTCTGTCTCCAGATTAATGGCTTGGCTGAGAGAAATAGGGGGAGGTCCTCAGGGAGGGAGGGATGGGGGGAACGAGGAGGGTGATGGAGGAGTTGGCTGGGGAGCTGCTGACCCCGGAACAGAGTCCCAGGTGGGTGGCCCCAGACCCAGGCAGCAAAGAGCAGAGAGGGGTCTGTCCCCAGACAGGGACCTGGCCACATCTTGGGCTCAGGGGCAAGGTCAGTGCTGGGGCCCCACTAAGTGCGGGGGGAGGGAGCTCTGTGAGTGCAGTGGCTGAGCCCCTCCTCTGCTTCATATGTTCCCGAGGATCTGTGTGCACAGCGTGGGGGGCTGGGGGAGGGGACACACAGGCTTTGCAGAAGGCAGGAGAGAGCCACATGCTTGTGCAAAAGGAGACTGGGGTGGGGGTGGGGAACACTAACCAACCCTGGGCTCTGCAAAGAGGCAAGTGCCTGCGGAGGGACAGGAAGCCAGGCCAGGGTTCCCGCTGCTCCAGCTTCTCTGTAATCCCTTCCTATGCCAAGCTTGCCTCTGCCTCCTGGCAAGTAGGCAGCTGGCCATGGCTGGACAAGCCCATCGCAGATCCCTGCCCAGGCAGGAACTCGGCTAGAGGCAGGGGTAGGAGAGGGCGGTCTCTAAGCCCACACTCCCTTGGTCTCACCTGAAGCCTGGGTGGACAGGAGGACCAGACCTGTCCAGCCCAGAGCTTGGCCATGGCCACAGCTGTTCACTTGGACTTCAAAGGCCCGGCCCCAGGCGCCTTCTGGCTTTGCTGGAGAGGCCCTGGGGCACTGTGCCTCCGCATTGTCTCTGTTCTGCCCTGGCTGGGTGCGCAGCACTCAGTGAGGTGTAACTCTTATCTGCACACCTGACCCTCCAGCCAGAAGGTCTGGCCCCAAGAAGAGCTTCGTGCCCTGAGTGCCACACGAGAGCACTTTGCTGCTGGTGCAGGGAGATGGGCAGGCAGGGGGCCAGGAGAGGTTGCTCCCCCACTGGTTGGCAGAGGGCTGGGGAGAGAGGTAGCCTGGCTCTCCACAGGCCCTCCTGGGGGCTACGTGCCTGCAGCTGAGTACAGGTGGGCTGCCAGCTGGCCTGCAGCTGCAGAGCAGCTGGGAGGCTGGTCAGTCTGCTGAGAGACAGGGCTAGGGGCTGCACACTCAGAATCCTCAGAACCTGGGGAGTATCCTCCCCCAGGCCAGGGGGCCGGTGTGGCCCAGAGCTCAGCTGGCCTGTCTGCGAGCTGCCAGGGGAAGGGGTCTGGGAGGGAGAGGCTGGTCTGTGGGGGGCACCAGGGCAGGACAGAGGTCAGAGGGCTGGACTCCTGGCCTGGAAGGGGAAGGGAGAAGCGCTGTCTGCCATCAGCTGTCCAGGTGCCATAGGGGCTGAGGGCTCTCGGAACAAAGAATGAGGCCTGTGGCCAGGAGACCCCTGGCCGCTTCTCAGCATTGCCACCGGGGAACTGAACCTTCCGCTTGTGGCCAACAAGCACTGGGTCCGAGCCAGAGAGGTCCGCAAAACTGCAGCTGGTCGGAAGGCACTGGCAAGTGGGGCTCCTGGACACCAGTGTTCCTGGGGAGTCCACAATGGCGTCAGCCAACCCCCCCGGGTCTCTGCCGCTTGCTGCTAGTCCAGGCACTGCACCAGCCCCTCCACAGTCAGCTGGTGCCTTCATGCCACCCACCACCCCGTCCTGTCCCAGGCTGCCCAGGGTCTGGTGGTCCTCTTCCTCCCTCATCCTGGGAGGTGTTGCCCCGCCACAGGCGGGCTGGCTGGGAGACAGCGTCTCAGGACACAGGAGGTCAGGATCCGAAGTTGGGGAGCCTGGCTGCCTGTGGGGACAGAAACGCCCTTTGGGTCACAGGGCTCAGCTGCAAAGCAGACAGGAAGCTGGGACCCTGCTGGGCCAGGATGAGGGCAGGGTGGGCCTGGGGCACGCGAGGTGCTGCCCTGTGGGTCCGTTGGGTGATGAGCAGACCTGCCGCCGCTGGGGCCCCATGAAACGCCTGCTCTTTGGGTCCGACCCTGCGGCAGGGGCCAGTGCCATCTGCGTCTCTCGGCTCTGCGGCCTGTGGTCAGGGCTGGCCAGAGGGACAGGTTAGAGGCTGTTCCATTTAATAACTTCATGGAGGAGGCTGTGCCCTTTGGCGGCTGGAGGAAGTAGCTGAGCCTGGCGGCCCAAGCCGGGCTTGGGAAGCGAGGCCGAGGGGAGACTGGTTGAGAGGTGAAGCCACAGCGCCTCAATGGAAGCTCAGAGCCCTGGAATTCCACTGACGCACCCACAACCCTTCTTTCAGGGGGTGAATTCCAGAGGTGCAGAATGACCTGGCTCTCCAACCCACCTGGAAGGGACCCAGGAGTCCCGCCTACACACTGCTGGAAGGCCAGACAGGCAGCAATGACCAGACACGCGACCAAGGAGTCAGTACAACTGCGGAAGGTTCTGTCCACCCCCACAACCGTGGCCACGCCCAAGTGTCAGGGAGGGAGATGCGCCCCCCTCTGGATCCAGTCCAATTGGCTGAGGCCTCAAGTGGAGGCCTTTCCCACCCCTGCATGTCTAAAGCGAAAGAAATAGAAGCTGACGGGAAAGAAAGGTGAGAAAAGAGAAAAACGCCACTGCCTGGTTCGTGCTGGCCAACCTGGGTCCCTCCTGCCCGACCTAGAGAGGGCGGCAGGGGAAGAGGGAGGCGTGGCCACGCCCGCCGCCCTGGGCAGGGCTGTGCCCTGGCGCTCACCTGGGCAGGCTGGCCTGGAAGGGGATGTCCGCGAAGCTGTGGCTGAGCTGGGCGATGATGCGATCGACTTCTGCGTACGGGTGGGCCTCTCGGGCAAAGCCCTGGTGCTGGGCACTCTGGAGGTGCTGCCCGGGGAGAGAGGAGACACAGGACGTTAGACAAGGCCAGCACAGGGCGCCAGGGAGAACCTGGGAGGGAAAAGCCCTCTCGGCCGTTGCAGCGACCGCCCAGCAGGCGGGGCTCACCCCGTGGAGCTCCTCGAAGGCCTCACGGCAGCACTCACAGTACCCCTTCCTCCTCCTGCGCGCGGCGCGGGCGGCGGGCCTCAGGCCTGCCTCCTGGCCCTTGGGCTCTCTGGAGAGAAAACAGGTGGGAGAAGGCGGTCACTGTTGGGCCCTCAGTGTGGAACTGCTGCTCCAGGGCCTGGAGCTCGGGCCAGGGAGGGGATGGTCCGAATGGCCACAGGCAGGCCCACCCCCAACCCGGCACCACTTGTCCAAGGGCAGCAGGAGAGACAACGAGACGGGATGTCCCATGGGCACCCTGTCCCAGCTCGGTCCTTTCTCCACCCACACACCTCGAACCACAGGTGAGAACACGTGGCAGTGGGTGGCGGCTGGACTCCTTTGAAGGGCAGGTGCAGCCCTGCGCTCCTACCCAAACCCACGTTCGTCTGACCTGCATGGCGGGAGGGAAAAGGCCTCAACAGCAGTGAGGGGACTGTGCCGCCCTGGACCTCCTCCACCTTACATGTCCCCTCCCTCATGCTTGCTTGTCCCCTGCACAGCTGCCCGGTCACCGAGGACTTTCAAATCTCTATCTCAAATCAGACTTCTCATTTTAGTCCGGGACTTCAAACAGCCTGCAGGCCCTCGCTCCTGGGCTGTCCAAACAAACTCAAGGCATCCAACGCAGTCTCCTCTGAGGACTAAGTAGGACAGGAAACGCTCCCAAGACAGGAAAACTACACGCACACAGAGGGTTCATTCCTCTCCTGCGTGAAGGACCCCTCCTTACAAGCCCCTGAGAAAGTGATCGGTAACTGGAGAAACAGACCAATGACGTGCAGAAGATGCAGAGAAACTCAAATGACCAAGAACACGGAACCTCGTTCGTGATGAGAAGAATGAAGATTCTAATTACACCGAGAGAGGCTTTTTCATCTAGCAGGTCGGCCTAGGCCAGCAGGTCCCACCGCTCTCAGCAGGAGCCAGGGGGGTGAGTCGGTGTTTGTGGGCGACGCCTCCGTGAAAAGCCATTTGGCTGCAAAATTAGAAATGCAGGCACCCTTTGACCCAGTATTTTCACTTCTAGGAATTTATTCGGCAAACATACTTGAACAAGACTATTCGCTGCAGCCTTCTTTATAACAAGACTGAAAATAATCTCCACATCCAACAATGAGAGACCGGGTGAATACACGAAATCCACGCCGTGGGGTGCCCTGCAGCCATGCAAGGGGGGAGCAAGGTCGCTCTTAGGTACTAACAGGAACAGCATCGAAGATACTGTCAGCGGCAACAGCGGGACCTAGCCCAGCGGGTCTCACGCCTCTGTGTGAGAAGAGGGGGCACGGGAGGCTTTAAACCCTCTGTAATGCTTGAAGTTTGAGCCAAATTAATAATTTTTTAAACTAAACATTTCCTACCACTTATTTTCCATGCACATGGAACCCTGGCCAACGTCCTCTCTATTCTTCTCATGTGCAGACACCAAAGCTTCACCGCTTCACCACCTCCCTTTATCCCCTCGGCCCCTCCAAGGCCACCCAAGGCCACGCAGCACCACCTGCAGCCCGAGTCTGCGGCCCCTGGCTGGCTCTCATTCTCCCCTTCCTCCCCTCCACCTCTTGCCCTGTCCCCTGATGGTTTTCCTCCCATTTGCACTGCTTCCTGATCCTGCCGCCTCCGTCTGCTGGGGGAATCTTGCTGGCCGAGTCTCCTCTGCCCGGTTCCCCCGGTCTGTGAACCAACCATGTGGTCCAGGGCTTAGAAAGGGCCTGCGAAGGCATCTGGCCCATCAGCTGAGCCACGTTCCTTCTGCGCTTTGGTTAGTGAAGGTCCACATTTCACACGTCTGCAGAGGACGAACACCAATGAGTCCACAAGCCACTTCAATGCCTAAATAGCTAAGGTCCCCTGCGCCTTAGTTACTCCTTATATTTAGCCCAAAGGCCTCAAATGCTGATGTGCACCAGGTCACCCAGGGAGCTTGGGAGGATGCGGCTGCAGGGGCTCCATCATCAGAGGCTGTGATGCTTGCATGTGTGACGGGGGGTCCGGGAACTGGCAGTTAAAGAAATCCTCACCCAAGGATGTTTATTGATTTTGAAGAGAGAATAAGGGAGAAAGAGAAACACTGACAGGAGCGAAACATCAATGTGAGAGAGAGACTTGCATTGGTTGCTTCCTGTATGCACCCCAACAGGGGACCGAACCTGCAACCTTCTGGTGTGTGGATGAGACTCCAGCCGAGCCCCCCAGCCAGGGCCAGGAACCTGCATTTTTAATGGGGCCCCAGGGGACTCTGATGAACGTAGTTTACAGATCTGAGTTTCAGAAATAAGACTACTGTCCTCTGGACACAGGTCAGATTCTTCAGTGCAAACGGAGAACACCAAATAAAACGGACGAACGCTCCTTGTCTCCTCTCTGGGCTAAGTTCCCAGAACAGACCTCGCATACGGAGGTAACACATGGCCATTCCCAATCCAACCAGCAGGCCCCTGAGGGAAGGACTCCGGCCTGTGACCAGCCCTTGTTATTCAGGGACCAGAAAGACCCACCTGGTGCGGTGTGAGCTGCCCGGGGTCGTCGGGGCCTCAAAGGGACTTGCGTCTTTGGGTCCCAGAAAAGAAATTTCTGGAAAGGATTTAAACTGATGGTGGAAAGGACGAAACTTCCTGAAACACAGAAAACTTCCACTTTGACTATCGTGCGGAAGGAAAAGGATTGGGGGGGGGGCAGCCCAACCCCCTCAAGTTCCGACCCTGATGGTGGGCTCTCTTCCGCACGCCTTCTAGGTCCTGGCACAGAACCCTCAGGTGCCCAACTAGGTGAAGCTCACCCCTAAGCTCGCCCTGTCTGTTCAAGGCTGTTTGCGCTCACTGCCTCTCCTGAGCCCCGTAGCCACCCCGCGCTGAGTGAGACACGTGGAGTAAAGAAAGCCCCAAAGGTTCTGGAACTCACCCAAGGGCTCACGGCCAGTATGTGGCCAAGACCAGACCAGAAGCCCTGTCTCCTGACTCCTGATCTAGTTCTTCCCACACTTCCATTTTGTTTGTTGACCCTGAAACAACCTATGAGGACTCTAGCCTCGGGAATCTGAATGGACGAGTGTTTAAACCAGAGCAGGGATTTTCCCCCTCCGTTAAAAGCAACGCGTCTGCCCTGGGCTGCCCTTTGCACCCTCTGAAGCGGAGTATCCCGAACAGGGGAGCGGCGCAGGAGGGCTCTGCAGAGGCAGACGGGACTGAGCGGCTTTGGTGGTCTGTCCCAGCTCACTCACATGCGGCTCGGAGCCAGGTGTGACATGTGGCACACCCTGTGATGTAACTGTGGGCTCCCCCCACCCCCAGGTGTTTGGTGCCATGGCCTGTGCTCGGGGGGGCGTGGCGGTGGGGAGGTGCAGGCCACGGGTTCCTGGGTGGCTCAGCGAGAGCCCTGTGGCCTCAGGAATGAGTTAACAAATTTCCCAGATCCTTGAAGAGAAGGGGGTGCCCTCCACATGGGGTGCCCTGATACCCCATTTCTTTCTCTGCAGTGTTTGTTTCTGTTTGAGAGGCTGGAATGTTGAGGGTAGTAAGGCTGACAGGCTTTGAAGGCACGTGTTTCAGGACAGCACGTGAAAAGATCACCGGAAACCCAGCTCCACTCAATCTCTGCTGTTGCTTCTCACACTAGGGACACACAAGTACGTGTACCCTGCTCTGGTGACAGTGGCGTCACCTGTGCCTGCTGCGTGCAGAGAGCCCCGGGGACACTGGCAGGCTCTCTCAGCCACCGTGTCTGCATGTGTCGTGCCTGCTTGTATTTAACTGGATGGACCGACACATGCTCCATCCCACCAGAACGGGAGGAGACAGCACCTCATCGCCACCCCTGTGCTCTTGACACTCATTTTGGGGCCACCAAAGCTAGCTCTGTACTGTATACAGGGACCGAGAAGGCAACTCAGGGCCTCCTGGAGGACAGGCAGAATGGCAGGCTTGCAGCTGGGGCCTTTAGCTGCCCTGTGTGAGGGTGAGGGGCCCAGAAAACTCTGGTCCCCGGACTCTCTGATGGGTACGCATGGGCCTTTTCTCTTCAGAAACCTTTTGAGATCATTATAGACTCAGGTGGCCCTTTGGTCTGGTACTCACTGAAGAGTCAGGGATAACCCAGGTGGCTAAGTGCTCACCAGGTGATTATCGACTCGGCCTTCCTCATGCTCCAGATCGAAGGGGCCCTCACGGTGCACGGGGCAGAGCGGAGAGGGCGCCAGGCAGGACGGTTGCAGCACCTGGGTTCTAGCCTTGGCTAAGCTTCCTTAGTAAAACGGCAGGTGCAAGTTCCTAATTTTCCCTGACCTCAGTTTCCCCACGAGGAGTAGGGTGGCCTCTTTCCCGCCGAGGGCTGTCACGAGGACAGACACCAGAAGAGGGTTCTGCCCAGCACAACAGAAGGGCTTCCCCGGACGCCAGGGAGCCCAGCGGCACTCTCACTGCGGCCAAGACTGCTGCGCGGGCCCCCGCTCTGGGTCCGGCAGCGACTCGGCAGCAGGTGTCAGTGCACGAGGGGTGAGTGTGGAGAGCGAACCAGCCAGCACGGGACTTCACGAGCTCATCAGAGCAGAGTGCTAACAGGAGGTGATTCACACCCGGGACCGTCACCCTCTGACGCGTGGCCGAGGGGCGTGTGAGCCAGACCACGCTGCCCTCGGGGCGCCTCCTCCCCGTCTGTGCCAGGCTTCACGACAGGGTGGCTTCTGGGGAGACACAGCTGCGGGGCTGAGGGGCTCCATGACCTCACGTCAGCTTAGGACCTCCCCGCCGTGGGGGCCTGGCGGGGGCGAGAGAAGAGGGAGCAGGCCCCACTCACCGGCTCTCGTCTTCAATTTTGAGGAACGGTTCTTTCAGTCTGGCCACTGGAAAGGAAGCGTGCACCGTTAGCCCTCCGTCTGCCCGGCGCAGGGCTTGCGCTGCACACAAAAGAAACATGGCGAGGCCCTGCCAAGGCCTAAGAGCCTCTCAGAGCTGGGACATACTCTGTCCCCAGGTGCACACTTGGCAGAGGTAAGCCACCCACTCCCATTTCTTCCAGCCTCTAAGCTGAGAGAAAGAGGGTTCCACCATTGGGGGGAAGAGGCTACAAGGTGCCTGGGGTCCTGGGACAGCGGACCCTCCTGGACCCCCTGCACCCGGGCCCTGGAGGCTGTCCACCGACAGCGCCCCCCCAGACCTTTACTCCTGGTGTCTCCGAATGCTGAGAGGCCTGGGGACACTCCCAGGCAGAATTTCCCATGAGGACCCTGGGTTTGTTTTGTTTTGGGGTGAGGGGAGCAGAGTGGGAGAGAGAGAAAGCATGTTTAGAGATCTTAGCAGAAGGGTGGTAAAAAAACATCAAAGGTGAAATCTGGTGCCCTGCCCCCCCCCCAATAGGGCAAAGGGGTTCTGAGAGGACAAATTTGCAGTCAATTAATCAAGAGATTCATCCCCTAGAGACAGTTACTGGCACAGGGTACAAAATGGTTCTTAGGCCTTAAGAACCATTTCCTCCTTCCCATGGTGACCAGAGGTCCTGCCAAAGGGGCTGCAGGCCTGGGCAGACGTGACAGCCACCATGTCCAAAGAGGCTGGCACTGCCACAGCCTCTGGACCCGTGCGAGGAAGCCACGAGAGCCCAAGTGAGAAAAGCAGACTTTCTCCTCGCACAAAGGCAGCTCCCATTAATTACTTTTTCGGGGGTGATCCCTTGTCTAATTAACTGAGACTGTTATTAAAATCAATTCCCCCCTAGGTTTCCTTGAATTTCGAACACGAGAGGTGCCAAGCGACTTTTCTTAGCTCCTGCTTGTGCACGAATAAATGCCACCTAAAGAGCATCTTTGGGAGAAACATCCGGGGTGGGGGGTGGGGGAGGAACTCTCCTGCTGTCCAAGAGGAACCGGGAGGGGGGGCCTGTCAATCTGCCCGTTTGTCAGTTTTGGGGAGTCTGGCATTTCCCAAAGTGGTAGGCAGCTGTTCAACTGCCCACTCCAAACTGCTCCTGAATCAGAGGGAAAAGGATGCGGAACTTCAATTGATGGCCAGGGACAGCCAGAGGACGCAGGAGCCAGCGGGACCACCTGGGGTCTCGGCTCTAAGGAGAAGCCCCGGCCCAGCAGCTCCAGACTCACTCGGGGTCACCCCTCTCCTGACACTGTCCTCCCCAGAGCCCAGGCCCTGGGAACACAACGGGATAATACAACCTGGCCTTGCTTCCTGCCGCAGAAAAGCGAGCAGATGCTGCCACAGAGGGAGTCTCGGGGAAGCATTTAGGAAGGGAGGGATGGCAATTAGATGAGGAACAGGTACCACACTGACCTCTCCGCGTTCTTGACTCGGCTGGACATGGTCCCTAAATGGAAAGGGAAAATAGGTTAAGGATTCGAGGGAGGTGGGGGGGGGTCGAGCAAGTGGGCCGGTGAGCTGCGTCGCTGTGCCGAGAGTCTGCCCCACTTTGCTTCCCTTGTCGGCTGGGCCCTGAGCTAGAGCTGACTGGGGCACGAAGGCTCCCTCCTCCTCCCCAGGGACGCAGCAAGGGGTGAGCGCTGTGTGCGAGTCTCAAGCTGACTCTGTGGAGGGAGTGCAGGCGGGAGCAGCGGCCGGAGCTGCGGAGCCCCATGGGCCCAGGTGGGTGGGAAGTGGCACCGTGCCGCCTGTGATGTGAGGAGCACGCGCCACCTGCTCGGATGTGGCACAGATGGGTGGGGGCAGCCCACAGGCCTGACACAGGGCGGGTGCTCACCAGACGGCAGCTTGTCAATACAAGGCTGTCAGGGCACAAGGTCATTACAGGTCAGGTTGCAGGACAAGAGTGAAGGTAGCACCTTTTGCTTCCCTGTATGTACCCTGACTGTTGGTCAAAACCAACATGTAGGCCAAGGTCAAAGCTGGTGTTAAAAACTAAATGGAAAGAATGAAGACATCCGCAGAGGTGGGGGATGGGGCAAAGATGAAGGAGCCAGTGAATCCATGACTCCCAGATCCTCCCCCAGGCCATGCTCCAGGGCAGACCCCTCAAAAGATGCCCCCTACACCCCTGAGCACATAGGGCATTGTAGCCAGAACTCACTCCAAAAGACTCCCAAGTATCTAAAGAAGAGATTATGAAGTGAACAAAGTCAAGTAACGATACTGCACGTTTGCACAAAGGGGGAATTTCCCACCTGTCTGCTGTGAGCGCATGGAGTCCTGGAGGGCTGCCTGAGGAAGCGTTCGCTCTGCTCATCTCTGGGAGGGAGCTCAGTGGGTGGGGAACAGAGGCTGAGGGGGAGGGACTTTCACTGTGCACCTTTTGTAGTTGTGACCATGCAAACCTAGTTAGCAACGGCAGCAGCAGGAAAACCCCAAAGACCCCTAGACCAGAGGGTGTAAGGTGAAGGGTGCTGAGGCCAAGCGCTCGGTCAGGTGGTTTGCTGCCGCTCTAGGTCCCACTCGTGTGTGGACCCACAGGGTTCAGTCCTTCTTCGGACTCTGGCCCCGTGAAAGTGCCTTGGCTTTAAATCAGCATGGGCGGTCTCGATGGGACACACACAGTTCCAACTCCAGCAACAGAAGACAACGCCAAACCAGGTTTTGGAATACAGCAGCTATTTCAAACCGTATCCCCCACCGCAGGCCCCACCCTTGCTATCTGCAGGCTCATTCCCGGGCCAAGGGACGTCCCCAGGAAGGCAGCCTGGCCAGCAGGCCACGGGCACTTATGTTTTATCTAGGCCAGGACTGTCCCCGGCCTGGGTGGCAGTGTGTGCCTTAGTGTACCACGGAGACTGGCAGGTGGCACTGGGAGGGGAGGGCAGGCCACACACGCCAGGGACGAGCTCGCTGAGAGGCTGCGCTCCTCTTGCTTGTTCCAGGACGGCCGGGAACAGGGGGCTTGGGTGGCTCATAGATTTACTAACGTTGCCACAGACTTCACAGTCTGCAAACTGCCCATTTCCCTCCAGTTTGGCGGGACCACCTACCTCGGGCTTCTCTGGCCCTCGTTTCTTCAGACGCAAAGCATCTGAGGAGAGCTGCTGCACGTGCATCATCATTTCTGCGGAGAAACCAGAGGGCGTGGCTCAAGGCTCCCACTCCCAAGTTTCCTCGGCGAAGCCCCTCCTAGGGCTGGGGCACCGAGTCTCACCAGGCACGGCGTGGCGGATCACACCAACCTTGCCTGCCACCTTCTGGCTATGCGTCACCTCTGCACCTGCTGATAATCGAATAAACGGCAGGGCCCTCTATCCCTGGAAAAGCACCCGAGCTGGCTGCCTGCTCTTTTGTGGCACTGAATATGATTCTGGAACACAAAGTGGCTTTGGCTCCCAAAGGGCTTTCAGGTAACTTCTGAAAAGCTGCTTCTGTGGGGAGACCAAGCCGCCCGACTTACTCAGACGCAGGAAACTGGACTGAGTCAGAAATAGCCAACTTTCTGGTGACAATGGAACCCCCGCCTCGTGATGAGGACCTTCCCACGCACAGTTCTCTACCCCCTGGCAGACCCCAGGCTGGATCTGGACCTGCCACCCGCCAGGATCAGAGAAAGCCCAGCTCGAGATGGAGCTGGGTATGAGGGCCATTCACTGCCGGCCTATCCGGGCCAGCTATTCCAGTGCAAATTTATCACAGCCTGCAAAAGGGTGGTGATCACGTGAGGCGACCCTACAGAAAAGAAATGACCTGACGTTTAGTTGGGCCAAACTAGGTTGGAATGTGGGTCACGCTCCTTACTGCTGGTGAGACCGGACGATTTACTCAATCCCTCTAAGGCTCACGCCCCTCGTGGCACAACAGGGACTGCAGGGGGAGTTACATGAGGTAATTCCCAGAGCAGAGTAAATGCCAGTAAGTGGTCATGGATATGAGGGGTATTTCCTATTTATAAAGCGAGATCATCACGTGAGCCCGAGGAGCGCGGCTGCGCGGGGTCGACGGGACAGCGCCTCCCACGCACCGGCTCTGCTGCGGACCGCTGGTCCGCACCCCCCCACCTTTCGGGGTCTACACCGCGTGGGCCTGCCTCCAGCCAGCTCACCCAACTACGACCCCTCTAAAAGGGCGCGTTCCCGGTCAGGCACCAGCTCTCCCCCCACTCCCAGGGGGGCCCCGGGCAGAAACGGTACCGTCCACACGCAGGATCCTCACTCCCCAGGAGCGGGCGTTGGTCAGGACGCTGCTGCTGCTCCCCTGGAAGGAAGCGGCAGCGTGAGACGCCACGAGGCCTGAGCACCCAGCGGACAGGCTGTCCTGGCTTCGGAGGCTCTGCGTCACTCCCGGAGGGCTGTCGCGGGGAGGGTCTATCCCGACCCTCGGGGAGACCCTATGCTCCACGTGGGCTGGCCGCATCTGGAGGGGACGGACTGCTGGTACCCTTGGTCCTGGCCACCTTGTGACCAGGAAGGCACACCTGCTTGTAACAGAGCTGCTTGCCGGCAGGGCCTCCGTGAGGAAGGCTCTCAGCACGCCGTGAGTAATGCGCACTAGGGACGGTCACCGTCACCTGGCCGGAGGCCATGCTCCACCCTGCTGACATCCCCCTCCCTCATCACAGTCAATGCGCCCGTCTTGATGTCACTTTTTTTAAAGATTTTGTTTATTTATTTTTTAGAGAGGGGAAGGGAGAGGGAAAAAAGAGGGAGAGATCATCAATGTGTGGTTGCTCTCATGTGCCCCCATCTGGGGACCTGGCCCGCAACCTAGGCACATGCTCTGACTGGGAATCGAACCAGCAACCCTTGGGTTCGCAGGCCCGCATGCAATCCACTGAGCACACCAGCCAGGGCTGATGCCACTTCAACAGCTCCTCTCAGGAGATCACCTCAGTCCTCCTCCTGCCACTGAACCTGAATGGTTCCGGATCCTCACAAAAGGGATGAACAGCTACTTGTAAGAGGTTCACTAAGTCTGGCTGTGGGCAGAGCAGGTGTGTCCCACGGCCTCCCTCCAAGATTCCCCAGGGCTCTGGGGAGGAAACCTCAAGGAGTCAAATCCTCACCTGTCGCCGACACCCTGGGTGACTCTGGACACTGACTTCCGAAGCCCGCTCCCTCATCCGGGAGAAGGAAATGACAATACACCTCACAAGCTGTGTTTTACGTTAGTACAGCTGAGCCTTGAACGACACTGGGGTTGGGGGTGCCGACCCCTGCAGAGTTGAAAAATCCAGATATAACTTTTGGCTCCCCCAAAACTTGGCGGTTTCTTGGTATCTATGAGGGAGCTTCTGGACGACCTCCCGCGGACACGGGAATCCGCAGACGCTCGAGTGCCCTGTATGAGACGGCACAGATCAGCCCTGGCTGGTGTGGCTCCGGGGACTGGCGCCGGCCTGCAGACCGAAATGTTGCCGGCTTGATTCCCAGTCAGGGCACATGCCCGTGTTGTGGGCCAGGTCCCTGGTGGGGGATGTGCGAGAAGCAGCCGCTGGATGTTTCTCTCGCACATGGATGTTCCTCAATCTTATCCTCCCTCATTTTCCCTCTCTCTAAAAATAAATAAAAAAACCTAAAAAAAAAGACGGCATAGACCAATGAATACAACCGGCTCTCCACACCCACGGATTCCCAACCGTGAGTCAAAAACAGCACAGGTTATTTATGGGAAAAGCCCACGTTCAAGTTGCTTGTGCTCCCGAAGACCCCCAACACCCGCAGCTCACCTGGTTTCTGATGGCCTTCTGCAGCAGCTCCTTGCCCCGGCTCATGGGCACCTGCCAGGAAGGGAGGGGCAGTGAGTGAGGCACGCCTGAGGACCACCTGTGCCCAAACAGGAGTTTGCAGAGGGGTGGGCCAGGATGGGGTCATGTCCCAAAAGCGGGGAGCAACGACAGCCCAGGGGTGGCTGAAATGTGAGCCTGCAGAGCGTTTCGGAGGTAAAGGTAAAGCCACACCCAAGTTCAGGTCACCCACAGGTGGCTGCGGCCTGGACCCTGCTGAAGAGGGGCATTCCACATTCACCAGAGGGTTACAGATGTTCTCGGACCTCCCTTTGTGAGTCTCTGCACTCCCCAGCAGATACGTCTAGGCCAATGTCAACGTGCCCTCTCTGGTCTAGAGAGGACCCTACTACAGCTTCAGAACCTCTGACTCTGCAGTCCCGAGTAAGGGGACAAAGCATCATCAAAGAAACTGCACGGGGAAAGCCTGCTGAGATGTTTAAACCCAGAGCTAGGAAAAAAGACTTTCAGCCCCTGAATTCCAGTGAGAAATTAAACCAGATGAAATTAAAACCAGAGCTGCTCCACCGGCTTGTGGAGGCTCACTTCCTCTGTGCAGAGAAGACACCCTTTCCTAGGCCACGAGATTCGTACCGAGTCTGCGGGTTTCTGCGCAGGCCTGGCGCGGCTGGCTGGCCGACTGGCCCTGGACGGCACTTCCACTCGGGCCTCACCGGGGCTGGAGCAGCCTCTGCGGCTTGTCCCACAGCTTTCTGCCTTGGCCTCCCGGCGGCTGGATACGATGTAACTTACTTCTTTGCTCAGAAAACCCTCAATTACCTGAAACCAGACCACAGAGGTGGCTGAGCACCAAAAGGCAGATGAAGAATCATCAATACCAAGAGGCTGGAGAAGGAAATCTCAGCTGCCACAAGTTCCAGAATCGATGTCTTTAAACAGAACAAATGCAGTTCTGCACTGGGCCCCCAAGTAGACCTCATCCTGAAATACAATAGGGTTTGTATATATAAACGCAGGTTTCTGTCTCCAGGACTGACTGCTGCTCTGACCCAGCAGAAGGCCACAGGCTTTGAGTTACTTGACCAGCCTGAGTTTGCCCGGAGCGAGAGCACACTGCAGGGACCAGAGAGGGTGACAGGTCAGCTTAGCTAAGCCATGACTTTTCTGTGAAGATACACTGAGACATCCAGACCCTGTATCTGTGACCCTGGCTACACTATTAAGAGGCGCCTAAAATATGAAACCAGAAAGGTTGATATTCTGCAGCTGACGACTCAGCTGCAGAGCTATCTGCTCACTTGCCTGTAAGTCACACGCAGGCACTGAGAGGGTCTGGCTCACCTGTGTCCCACGGGCCCAGCACAGTGCCCGAGGCACAGCGGCACTTAACTCAGGTTTGTGGGAAGAAGAAAAGCTGGAAACAAACTGGAAACAGCTCACTGGTAGTGAGCTGGCGAATGTTTAATGACGGACTCTCTGGGGGGGAATCCCTGCTGTGTGGCATCTGCTGACGTCTGTGGGGTAAATACTCCCATTACGGCTGATTTCAAGCCACCAGCGTGACCAGCAAGTCACTGAACGTGGACTTGGAAAGAGAAGCTAATAATTGGCTCCTGTAAGCTAGTCCCAGCCAGCTCGAGCACGCCACCGGAAATAAGGATGCAGAATGTCTCTGACGTGTGACTGGGTGAGGAACCTGGCACTTAAGTATATGTCCCCAAAAGAGTTAAAACCAGGGACTTGAGCAGACACCTGTGCACCAACACTCACTGCAGCATCAGTCACCACAGCCAAAACGGGGAAGCCACCCGAGTGTCCACCAACAGAAAAACAGATAAGCAAAACACGGTATAGCTGTATAATGGAATACAATTCGGCCACAAAAAGAAATGAAGTTTTGCCCTGGCTGGTGTAGCTCAGTGGATTGAGCACAGGCCTGGGAAGCTAAGGGTCACCGGTTCGATTCCCAGTCAGGGCACATGCCTGGGTTGTGGGCCAGGTCCCCAGTATGGGGCATGAGAGGCAACCACACATTGATGCTTCTCTCCCTTTCTCCCTCCTTTCCCCTCTCTCTAAAAATAAGTAAAATATTTTTTAAAAAAGAAAAAGAGAAGAGTGTAAACAAAAATAAATACATTAAAATGATGGTTGTCACTGCAGCAGTTCCATGTTCTCTAAAATTTCTAGAATAAACAGATATTTTTCTAATTAGGAAAAAAAACTGTGGTTTAAAATATGGTTCACACTGGAAATTGCTGTGGAAACAGGCAGCCATGCCACCGAAGACACCTGGAGGACGCGGGCACAGTCCCCGTGAAGGCGCGGGGTGGGCGTCACTGGAGAGGGCAGGTCACGCACCCCGCCCAGCTGCTGGATGGCCCCTGTCAAAAACTGCAGGTTCTTGCCAGCAGGCAGATCCAAGTAAAAGGACTTTCCAGAAAAGGGCTGCCGCCTCCCAGCATCTAGTGAGCTCTTCCGGCATCTTCCCAGACAGCTGGACGCGCTTAGTCGAGCCCCTAGGAAAAACAACAAGGAGGAACGCAGTGAGAAGTCTGCGGGAAGAGAGAGCCCTGCACGTCAAGCCGCCTCTGCCGAGGGCCTCTGTGTGGCACAAACGAGAATGTGAGACCAGTATTCCTGCCTTGGGGCGGTTTTCCTCTTCTCTGCAACCCCCAGTCCCTAAACTCAATGGAGGGGCGTAAGTTAGGGCCTAAGCGTTTGTGTCTTCCTTCCAGGAGCACATACAGTATCAATCAGAGCAGCTAATAGTCTCAAGGGAACATTAGCCTATAAGGAAACATGACGCTATTGAAGAAAGCAAGATGCTTTCTTTCATATAGGTTATTTATCTGTCATAAGTAAGGGATGGGACAGAAAAAATCATTTTAAAGTATAACAAATAGCCTCAAAAAGGCAAGGAGGGATACTGGAAACCTAAAAACTGGAGTAGTAAGTCAAGAAAAGAATGGAGAACTCCTGCATGAATCTAGAGAAAAGATAAACGAGAAAACAGTCCATCCGACTGAGGAGGCATTACCGTGCATCTCAGCCGGGCTCTGGCTGAGGACCGTCTTCCTGAGAACTCGGAACCACAGGCCTCCCGGGAGTCTGGGATTCATATTCACAGTACTTATGTGGTCTAAGAACTCACTACCACTGCCACAGAACAGAAATCAATGTAAAAAGTAATCCCAGCTCCTCACACTGGGCACACCTCAGAGAATCAGAAGCAAAACGACTCTAGAGACAGAGAGCCCAGACCACGGTTCCCAGAATTTCCTCAGATAAAGCATCATCAAATATTAGCTCACACTCCAACGCCATAAAACATACGGAGGAAATGAACCATCATGGGTGAGAGTTGGCGGAAATAAGAGACAGCAAAATTAGATCTCTGAGAACTCCAAAAAGAAGGACCAGCCCTGGCTGGTGTAGCTCAGAAGATTGAGCACTGGCTACGAATCAAAGGGTTGAAGGTTTGATTCCCGGTCAGGGCACGTGCCTGGGTTGTAGGCCAGGTCCCCAGTGGGGGCCACGTGAAAGACAACCACACATTGATATCTCTCTCCCTCTCTTTCTCCCTCCCTTCCCCCCTCTCTAAAAATAAATAAATAAAATCTTTAAAAAAAAACAATTTAACTTAAAAAAAAAAAGATGACCAGATAGAGACTCCAAATATTGAAATTAGTAAATACTTCAATTCTATTAAAGTAAATTATTTAAAATGCAAGAAAAGAAATATCAACTTACAAGTTTAAACTCAACTAAGTAATTATTCAAGATTGAGGGTCAAATACATTTTTTAAGCAAATAATACCCCAGACAATTTATCACCAACCAATTACTACTAAAGGACTTCAAAGAGGTATACATTGGGAAGAAGGAAACTTAACCCAGAGGCAGGACTGAAATGCTAAACGAATTGGTAAAAAGTGTGCATACATATAAATAATCAGCCTTGGCTGCTGTGGTTCAGTGGATTGAGTGCCAGCCTGTGAATCAAAGGATCGCTGGTTCGATTCGCAGTCAGGGCACATGCCTGGGTTGCAGACCAGGTCCCCAGTAGGGGGCACATGAGAGACAACCACACATTGGTGTTTCTTCCCCTCTCTTTAAAAATAAAATAAAATAAATAAATGAGGGGTAGGAACAATTATATATATATATATATATATATATATATATACACACACACACACATAATCACTGACTATATAAAACAATAATGACTAATTTGGAAGAAAAAATGATAGGAAATAATATATTTTGAAATGATATTTTTTAACATATTAAATATATTATTAGAAGTTGTATCTGTTTTTATTTTCTTGGGTTTTGTTTTTATTTTTTAACGTGACTAGTAGAAAATTTAAAATTACTGATGTGGCTCATATTTGTGACTCATATTTTTTAAAGATTTTATTTATGTATCTTTAGAGGGGAAGGAAAGGAGAGAGGGAGAGAAATGTCAATGTACGGTTGCTTCTCATGGGTGCACATAAACGGGTGAAGGAGCGAGCGGTGAGACAGACCGTGCAGGCCCCAGTGGCGGGAAGCAGCAGAGGGGACCGCCATTGTCCCTCTCCGACCCCACCCCCACATACAGCGTCACAAAGCAGCGACCTGGGTGGCCCCGCCCTGGTGAACACCTAAGGCTCTGCTCCTCATACGGAATAGGCGCAAACAGATCAAAACATGGCTTAAGAACAACTCAGAGCCCCAGAGCCTATAAATCTAAGCGATGAAGAAATAGCCAAACTTTCAGATGCACAGTTCAAAACACTGGTGATCAGGATGCTCGCAGAACTAGTTGATTTTAGTCACAAATTAGAGGAACATATGAAGGCTAAACTAATTGAAATGAAGGGAAATACACAGGAAACCAATAGTAATGGAAAGGAAACTGAGACTCAAAGGAGTGGACCAGAAGAAAGAAAAAAATGACCGAACAGAAAAGGATGAAGAAACAAGAATTTTAAAAAATGAGGAGAGGCTTAGGAACCTCCAGGACATCTTTAAACGTTCCAACATTCGAATTATAGCGGTACCAGAAGGGGAAGAGGAACAGCCACCAGTGGAAAACTTATCTGAACAAATAATAAAGGAGAACTTCCCCAATCTGGCAAAGGCAATAGACTTCCAGAAAATCCAGGAAGCTCAGAGAGTCCCAAAGAAGTTGGACCCAAGAAGGAACACACCAAGGCACATCATCATTACATTAGCCAAGATTAAAATGAAGGAGAGTATCCTAGAAGCAGCTAGAGATAAGGGGACAGTCACCTACAAAGGAGTTCCCATTAGACTGTCAGCGGATTTCTCAAAAGAGACCTTACAGGCAAGAAGGGGCTGAAAAGAAGTATTCCAAGTCATGAAATCCAAAGACCTACATCCAAGATTGCTCTATCCAGCAAAGCTTTCATTTAGAATGGAAGGACAGATAAAGTGCTTCTCAGATAAGACCAAATTCAAGGAATTCATCATCACCAAGCCCTTATTATATGAAATGCTAAAGGGACTTACCTAAGAAAAAGATAAAAAAAAATGAACAGTGAAAGGACAGCAAACTCACAGTTATTAAGAACCACACCTAAAACAAAAGCAAACTAAAAGGACAGCTAGATCAGGAGCAGAACCATAGAAATGAAGATCTCATGGAGGGTTAGCAACAGGGGAGTGGGAGAAGGTACAGAAAATAAGTAGCTTAGGCAGTAGATAGAAAATAGATGGGGGGAGGGCAAGAATAGTATGGGAAATATAGAATCTAAAGAACTTGAGACAAGTGGTCATAAACTAAAGGGGAGGATGGTGGGGGAGGGGGTGTGCAGGGTGGAGGGGAATGAAGGGGGAAATAGAACTGTAATGGCATAATCAATAAAATATATTTAAAAACCAATACATTAACAAATATTATTTCAAAATATAGTCAATACAAAAAGCACTAATGAAACAGCTTCCATTTTCCCTCACATTCGGTCTGAGAGTCAGTGTGTACGTCACACGTACAGCCCATCTGAATGCGGACAGGCCTCATGGCCAGTGTTCCGTATCCTTGGATCACTGAGGTCAATGGGAAGACAAAATATGTAAAAATCTTCATTATAACAACTAAATTCACGGTTTCGCTAAAGTGAAGGAAACGAAATTTTAAAAAGCACCTACTTTTTGCGTGGAGGAGCTACTGTTCTTTTTCAATGTGGTAAGGGAAAAACACTTTGACTCAAGAATCTTAATACATGAGTGAAATAAAGATACTCTCAGGCATAAAGCCTCAGAAAGTTTGTCACATAAAGCTCCCTTTTGAAAGCACTCTTGGAGAAAGTTCTCCAGAAAAAAAGAGCGATACCTCCAGAAGAAAGCATCAAGACATGGGCAAGAAGAGTGAATAACTTAGCAAAGTGTTTTACTGTCTAAAAGGCAACAACCAATTACCGTGTCTGTAGCATTTCAGACTAAAACTAGAAGATACTAGAAGACAACGGGGGAGAGTGCTGAGGGAAGTGACTAGGTGCCAAAATACTAAGAAAATTCGGGGGGCGTCTATCCATAAACTTCATAATTTATAATAAAAATAACCATGAGCATAGGGTTAATATGGTTACACAGCCCTGACTTCCCATCTGTCTGCCGATCCAGTTCATAATATCAGACTGAAAGCTCTTGTTTGACCTCTACCGTGAATTCCTAAATGATCCATGACATCCATCAGCAGGCACCACACTCACACACAAAACCTCTAATAGTTAGAAAACTCCAACAGGGCTAACATTTCCCGGCGTTTCATCCCAAGAGGCTGTGGGGCAGGAATAGCAACTTGGACCTCCCAGCCCTAGTTTTGACCGGCTACCTACCAAGGTCCGGAGCCCGGAGACTACTCTCAGCCATTGAACTCTCCAGCTCAGGGCAATCGTCGCCTGAAAAAGGACAAAACAGCTGAATCACTTTCACTAGCCTCCGACGTTCCGCTACCCCCCCCCCCTCAAATTCTGCACAATCCCCAACGCGGCTACCAAGTACAGCAAGACTCAACTCCATCCCTAGCCGTATCCCATCTCGACTTCCGCGCCACCTTCCAGGCAATTGTCCTCTTAGTCCCTCCATCCCCTTCAGATCTCTGTCCACTCGACGATTCTGACTCCTCCTGGCCCCTCTACCGCCTCCAGCTTCTGCATCTATTCGCTCCCGGATACCTGTGTCCACTTTCCGACCCCGTTATCCTCTCTCCAACTCTTAGACCCCACTCTGCTTTCCTTCTTCCCCTTCTCCCCTTCCCAGTATCCGTACCCTTTTTCTTGCTCCCCCAAATACTTAGGCTCTTTTTTGGTCTCCGTACTCCTTCCTCAAGGCCGCCGTATTGCACCCGCGGACTCCATGAGCTCTTTCGGAATCCAGAGCCCCAGCAGCTGCTCAGCAACTAGAGTATCACTTTCTAAGCATTCTTCGCCGCGGCTTCGGTTTAAATTTCCTCTTGCTCCGCCCCTAAAACAACCTAATTGTAGCTGCAAGATTGTACTACGGTGGCCCTAGGGGGCCAATATTACTCTGTAAATCCTTCCCAATCCCGTTCGTTTTCTGCTCCGCTTTCCCTGTCTGTTTATTTGATGGAGATACTTGGTATTTCTTACAGTGGGGCCTCTCCCTGCAACTAAAGCTTGGCCTTGTGACTTGCTTTGGCTGATTAAAAAAAAAAAAGACATCATTTCCAAGCACAAGTTTTAAAAGTCAGGGTGGTTTACCGAGTTCTTTTCCCTCATCGCACTGATTCGCAATGTCCTAGCTGGAGGCTGCCCTGTCAACTTCGGGTCCTTAGTGAAGATGACGTGGAACAGAACCATGGGCAACTCATAGTGGATCTATAGCATGAGCAGAACATAAACCTGTAAGCTACTCAGGTTTTGGAATCATTTGTTACCGTATCATTATTTAGCTCGACGTTCTCTAAGTGTGGCTCAGCCTTCTCAGAAAGTTCCTTGAGGTTAAAACTATTTTTACAGTAATACTATGAGTCTCCGGAGGCCCCCTGAAAAACCTTTGCACACAGCTCCTTGCATCTGGAACTGCATCCATTCTCTTCCAGTCTTTCAGCTTAAAGAACTCTTCCCTATTCTACAAAAAAGCGTCAGCATCATCTCCCATTTCCAACGGGAAGCCTTTCTGGATCCCTCACGTTCACAGCTTCCAAGCCCACTCCAAGAGGCAAATTTATCCTCATTTGCTTCTAGGTACCCTACTGCAACCTCCACTAGAAAAGGCTCAATTAAGACGTTTACCTCACTATATCGTCATTATTAGTTTAAACATGAATGTTTTCACTGGGCTGAAGAACCTTTGGGGGCAGAGATTTTGTGGTACTTATTTTTGTATTTTCAGTACCTAAGAGCAATGAGTTGCTGTGAATAATCAATAAATACTTAGCGAATGAAGGAGTCACGCCAGTGACCTGCCAGCCTCCTCTGTAGCTCAGGGAAAGCCAACCCGGATTCTTGGGTAATTCATTTCAGCCCAGACCCAGGTGTTTTGCAATTAGCAGAGGCTCTGGCTGCTATCCTCAAGCTCCTGCCTCTGGTGAGGTTCCCTGTTGTGTGACTGTTTCCTTATTCAGTGGGTAGGTGGACAATAAAAGCATCTCCTTACAAAGTTGTTGGAAAGATTGCAAAAGATAATGCATCAAAAACTCTTAGCTGAGGATAAATTCTTAGCACTCTTAGCCCAGTGTCTGGCAAAGGATAAAGAATGCTCCTCAAAGATATTCCTGTGTAATGTTGAATGACTGGGTGAAAGAAATGACTCGAGGTTGTTTGTTCACTTACTGAGCACCTACTTCTGTGTGTGGGGACATGCGTTAAATACATCATGTTAAGTGCAGAGAAGCAATCGCAACACACGGAGTGGTCTTAACACAAATGGCAGGGAATCAGGGAAGGTTTCCTTAAATTGGAGTGCTGTTCGAGAAGGAGCTCAGACAGGTGAGTAATCCAGACACAGCAGGTTCCTACTTGAAAGGTGTGTGTGCTGTGCACTGAAAGTCAGCTCAATGAGGTGGGAGGAACTGCTAGAATCGAAGTTGAGTTCCAGTCCCGTTTAGTTATTTGGCGCGTGACTTTGGCCAAGTCACTGAACCTCTCTGAACTTTCCCAACTGTAAATAAAGTCTGCCAGGATTCTGAGAGGCCACGTGACCGAGCGCACGCCTAGGCGCGCTCAACTAAGCAGTTATAAGAAAGCCACGGTAGATTTTCGGAGTTCTACGTCCGCCGCTCCGAGGCGTCTGTTTCCTCTCTGAGCTTGCGCAGTGGGTCCGCGTCGCGGCCCGTCAGGCAACGCGGTAGGCACCCTAGGGGCTGGCAGGACCCTGACCCCAAGATGGCGGCGCCCAGTGAAGTGGAAGCACCTTCCTCCGGCGAAGGCGATGGCGAGGGCAGCGGCTTTGGCTCGTGGCTAGACGGACGGTTGGAGGCGCTGGGAGTGGACCGAGCTGTTTATGGTGCCTACATTCTGGGTGTTCTGCAGGAGGAGGAGGAAGAAGAGAAGCTGGACGCTCTGCAGGGTATTCTCTCTGCTTTCCTGGTGAGAAGCCCGAACTCATTTCTTCAGCCTCTTGCCAGCCCTTGTCAATACTTTGTATCCCTGTTCCCCTACTCAGCGTCCCAGAGGATTAGTGGTATCACCTGGGAGAAGAATACTCTTCTGAGTTCTGGGCCGTGGGGAAAGGGAACCAGAAAGGTTTGTAGGTTGAATAGAGAGGAATGGCTTTCGCTTATTCTTGGGGAAGAGGCTCTCGCGGATTCCTGTGGATGGCGCTGAAATGTCTTAAGTGAGAATTTTACCATAAAGGTCAAACGACCAATTTCATTGCCATCCGTTGACAGTGTTCAGAGGGGGGAATTGAGTGCTCTGGGATATCTGTGTCCCAGACTGTCCCTTGACAAAACAGGCAGTGCCCAGACTGTCCCATGACAAAAGCTTCTCGGTTCCTATTTGGGAGGTGGAAGTCCAAAATAGGTAAGCTCACCTTAGAGGTCTTTTCATGCTTGAGCAGAACTGAACCAAATATTGTGCTTTTTTCCTTTATAAGTATTTAGAAATGTAGTAATCATTGTTGTGTGTGTGTAGGGGGTCGAAGTAGTAGAAATAAGATATCAGAGTTTTTAAGAAGAACGATAAACTTAGCACTTAGCCTCCTAGAGTCAATTTCAAGAATTCAGAAATGTGTACTTTAATCTGTGTTTGAGTAGTAAGCCGCCAAATTGTCCGCTTTTCCTGATCCTTTTTGCTGCCTTCATTTCCACTAATAGTTACCTGGTGAAAGGGTAGTTTATCTATTGGGCACGTGGTTGAAATATGACACTGGTGCAGCTGTCGCAGGACCTCCTGGCAAGGGTCCCCGCGGAGACTGACCTATATTTGGGAAAGCCTTAGCCCAGCTGGCAGTGCAGCTCGTCAGTTCAGTGGAAACAACAGTGGAGCAAGTTGTTTCCCCTGGACCCTGACACTGTAGGATTTAGAGGGAAAGCGTAGGAGGCCAGCAATTGAAGTTAGTTTTTATTTCCAGCTGGAAATAAAAAGTTTCTAAAGACTCTGAAAAAGAAGTTGAAGTAACTTAGGTCCCCACTGGTGCCAGCCCCTTGACCTGTTTTCTTCATGATGTCATCATTTGGAACCCTATGTCTGTTGATAAACACAGGCATGAATTTGAGTTGGACTGTTAACAGTGTCTTGGCATGAAAGTGATAAACCTTAGGGAATGTACTGTGTCGAGTGTATTGGCCGAAGAAGACTTCATAGAGGAGAAGGGTTTTTGCTCCAGAAGAATGAGGAAAATGGCTCTGAGTTGGTCGGAATCCTTTCCCTTGGATCTTGACAGGATGGAGTAGGTGCCCTTGACCTAGCAGATGTGGATTCCGGGACTCACTCACAGGATTACTTCTGTGTCCAGAGCCTCGGAAGAGAAACATACGCTCTGTCCTGTGGCTCCCAACACTCCTTGTGGTTTTTTCTCATCATTGCCTGTGTCCTCTGCATAGGCTTTGTTCACGTTGAGGGTTCTCTAGGAAATTAAGTAATTGGTCTACTTTTCCAACCAGGAAGAAGATTCCCTCCTCAACATCTGCAAGGAGATTGTGGAACGATGGTCAGAAACTCAGAATGTTGTCACCAAAGTGAAAAGAGAAGGTAGAGTTGGAGTTCTGATGTGTAACCTCCGTTGCCTTTTCCAGTGAACTTTACTGTGCGGCTGTTGGGGAGTTTTGGGTTTTCTTTGTCAGGTGTTCATTTTCCCTAAAGTAGTTTAAGCTGGCAAACACCTTGCAGCTTTAACTTTTTAACTGAATGTTGATTTCCCTTTTCCTTTTGACTTTTTCAGTTCAGCTGACCACAGTTATCTACATTGTGATTTTTGCTTTTTTTCTTTTTCATCTGCTTTCCACTGCTTTTTGTACACTTGTATTGCAGGTTTAGGGTGAACTGTACTTTCTCACTTTCTGCCTTTTTTGTACATTTCATAACATAAAGTGTGATTAGTTTTTTGCTTTGATCAGCTAAACCCTTCACCCTTTAAAATGAAAGAGAAGTAAGTGAATATACTCACCATTAGGATGCAGAAAACTCAACCCACTAAAGCCAGACTTAAAATAGAGTCTATTTTAACATCATTTGATTTACTTTAAAAAATGATAGTGCCCGGGGTCATACCATGGTCCAGTTATATAAACATCTTTGGGGTTGAGGCCCAGGTGACTCTGTTGGTTGGAGCATCATCCCTTATAGCAAAAGGTTTGATCCCCAGTCAGGATGCAAATACAGGAGGCGACTGATTGATGTTTTTCTCTCTCTTTCTCTCCTTTTGTCTCTTTAAAGTCAATAAACATTACCTTGGCGAGAATTGGCGGGGGGGGGGGGGGGGGGGGGACCTCCCCCAGGTGATTCTAATATGTAGCCACGCGTGAGAACCACTACTTGACACTATTGCCTTTTTCTTTGGGAATGGAGAACTCAATAGTTGGTTTTATTTTAAAATAATTTAAGAATTTTGCCCTGGCTGGTGTGGCTCAGTGCATTGAGTGCTGGACTGTGAACTAAAGGGTCACCAGTTCCGTTCCCAGGCCAGGTCCCTGGTGGGGGGTGTGCAAGAGGCAACCACACATTGATGTTTCTCTCCCTCTCTCTCTTCCTCCCTTCCTCTCTCTAAAAATAAATAAATAAAATCTTTAAAAAAGAATTTAAGAATTTCACCTGGCATAATTATCAACACGAAAAGACCAGCGTAAGTGGATTTCAGCATCCTCCGTAGGTTTCTGTGTTGAGAGGGGAGAAAGTTGCATGTTTGGAGGCTTAATTTTCTGCAGTTCTAACGCAGTGCTTTTCAACCTCTTGAAAGCAGCAGAACTTCAGTGCATAAAACAAGTAAAAGCAGGGCTGCTTTGATCGAAGATGGATACAAGCCCTAGAGCCTGGCCCGCATGGCCTCTCTCTGCCTTTGGCACCTCCTTTGAACCCAGGGTCTAAGGAGTCTAAGATGCCGGGGCCTTTACTCCAAACACTGCCTGGGTGGACTAGTGGTTTCGTGAGCTTGTTTTCTCTCACATACAACCTTGTCGTCCCTCTCTCCCCTTCCACCACCTCCCAGACGAAGTACAGGCCATTGCTACCCTCATTGAGAAACAGGCCCAGATTGTGGTGAAGCCCAGGATGGTGTCAGAAGAGGAGAAGCAGAGAAAGGCTGCCCTCCTGGCGCAGTACGCCGATGTGACAGATGAAGAGGAATATCCTTTTCAGAGCCTCAGCTCCATTTCCAGAGGCTCAAGCCAGAAGCACTGGCTGGTTCACAGTGAGCTTAGGGAAGGTGCCCCCCCACCCCCACCCCATAGCTTAATGCTCTCTGAAATGGCGGTGCTCGTGGCCTTCCGGGGGTGTGAGGAACTCAGTTGGAATAGTTGATACTAGACTTACATTTCTCAACACATAATCAAGAATGTTCCTGAAAACTTCAGTGTGAAACAAATAATGCCTTAATAATGCACCATTCCTGTTGTCTTTTTGGAAAATAAGATGTAGCTGTGGTTCTTTACCTTTCTGTGCAGTGTCGTGTCACGTGTAATACATCTCTATATCCTTTCCCCGTTTATAAGGAAATTGAGGCACCAAGAGATGAATTGGTGATTAGAAACATTCATATAATTAGTGGCAAAACCAGGATTAGAACCTGGGTATGTTTGGGTGAAGTGTTCCCAAATTTGGAGCAGTTTTGTTTGAGTCTTTTAAAAAAATATTCTTTTGACCCCATAATTAAAAGTGAGACTGAACCCCAAATAACCCAGGATAAATCTGCAATTTGAGGGGGACCTGGTTGAAAAGCAAATGTTGCTGGTAGGAGCAGGTTTGGCTCCTTGTGACTTTGACATTTGTTTAGGAAATGCTTGGTTTACTGAGCCGCCCCGAAGGGCATGGACATTACAGCAGAAATGTCAGCTGTCTAGTGAGTTCCAAAAAGAATGCTTAGGCTCTTTCAGACCAGCTTCTCTTGTAAGTTTTGCTCATGACTTTTCTTGCTAGGGTTGGCAGAGCTATGGCTGCAATTATGAAATCTCATTTCTTGGGCTAGAAAAGAGTGTTTTAAGCAGTAGTTCTCTGGGGGACTCGTTAAAACACAGATCGCCGAGCTCTGCCTCCCGGCGTTTCTGATTTAGTACGTCCAGGACAAGGCCCGAGAATGTGCATGTCTGACAAGTTCCCAGAGTGTTCTGGAGGCCAGACTTTGCGAACCACTGTTTCTGAGGTCATCTCACTACCTCTTGGCTTCCAGGTAACGCGGCAGTGCCCCAGGACCAGCTCCAGGTTCCCTTTATCCTCTAAGGGGTAAGGATCTCACAGAAGCTCTGAACACCCTTCCCCAAGTTGAGTCCCTTGAAGATGACTCTCCTGGGTTTACTGCCACGTCCCCGACAGCGTCCTTCTGTGCACTGTGCCTTTCCTACCCATCCGTTTATCGAATGTTTTCCGATGTTGGGTTTGGATGCACTGACTTCGGTTCATTCGACTTTCCTTAACATCACTTACTGAAGCAGAGGAGAAGGGTGACTCAGGTGCCACCACAATGAACATTGGTTCTGACAAACGTATCCTTCTCTGTGTCTGTCCCCATGTGCTTCTTCCCAGAATCCTCTCAAGGCTCAGTTTTTATTTTGCTGTTATTGCCATGGGCTCCCTCTGCCTCCAGAGCGCCTGCCTGTCCGGCCAGCACTGCAAGCCCCATGTCGGGGACAGCCCCAGGTGGTCAGCCGAGCCGGAACTTCCCCCAGAGAGGACATGTTAACCTGTACTATAAAGGGGTTAGCTTAGAGGAAAGGTTTCTAAGGGAAAATAAAAACCCGTGCTGTGGAAGCAATTGCAGTGGTACTGCAGTTTTGTTCTTTGTCCTCAAAGACCTTACAATTTGTTGGAAAGAGAACACAGAGTACTTTGAAGCTAAAAATACAGGGGTGGGCCAAAGTAGGTTTACAGTTGTGAGTATACAAAAGTTTATTCTTGTATTATTTATTAATTATTGTATTATTTGTATGACAACTGTAAACTTACATTTGCCCACCCCTGTATGGACAGATTGACACATGTGCTGAGGAAAGCCCCCACCAACAGAATCACTTAGGAGAAGCTTCCAGAAAAAGTGGATTTAGAAATCCCCCTTTGTAAAGGTGAGAAATATGGTGAATTATCTGGGGGAGGGTTTATTTCAGGAAGAATTTGAAAGCACTGAAGCAGAAGAAAGCTGCACTTTAAGAGCAGAGAGGAGTTTATTTGGTAGGAGCAGGTTGTGTTTTTAAAGTCGTAAGAAATGAGGGGTTAAGTTTTTGGCTGGGTATTTTCTAACTGGCTAAATTTACTATTTGATAAATTCAGAGTTTGTTACTAGAACATTGTTTCACTAAAGCTTTTAGTGGTCTAGGAAAAGAAATTGATACGGTCAGATTAACCAACTTTACTCTTCCAAGCATTTTAGCAGTGCCAAGCACCTAAAAATTTTGCCACTTATATGAATACTCTGTTCACTAAAACTAGGATAGATACTCCAACAATATTCTGCTGTTGAACGATGTAAGTACTTATTCTAGAGTGAAATTTTATTTTCATTAACTCAGTTAAATGTGAACAAGATTTTTATCCTGAGATTTATTCTACCATTATGTATTGTGTAATGGTAGTTTTAGGATTTCCCATTAGACCAAAGGTAAACATAAGGATTCTTTTCTTTTTTTAAATTAGGAATAGATAGAGACTCAGCATGTAGAGAATGGACAGTGAGAATTCAGAGAGAGCAGTAGCTGGGCCTGTGTTACTTACCCCGACCCTAACTCCTTAACTCTTTGTAGTTCTGTTCCGAAATACCAATGTGGAAGATGTCCTCAATGCCCGAAAACTGGAGCGGGACTTGCTTCGGGATGAGTCCCAAAGGAAGAAGGAACAGGACAAGCTGCAGAGGGAGAGGGACAAACTAGCCAAGCAGGAGCGCAAGGAAAAGGAAAAGAAAAGGACACAAAGAGGGGAGCGAAAGCGATAACCCTAATCAACTCTACGCTTTCTCCTCGTGAACTGATCAGAGGAAGAACCGGTTGTGCACGTGTGTATTTAAGAGAAATGAGAGAACATTGCGAATTGGTTTCCCCAGGGATTTCCCCTTTTGTTTACGTGGTTGAAAGGAAAATCACAAACACTTCTAATTACAAAATGTGCCATGTCTCTGTTGTGTGGGTAATCGGATTGTTGTAGCTAATACCTGTACCAAAGATCTGGAACAGGGGCGACATTTATATTTTAGTGCCCAAGTCCTGTGCTCCTTTTGGCTGCTTTCAAAAGTCTTCCCTCACCTTGGATAAGCAGTTGGAATATTCTGAAGGAACAGACACATGACCAACCACTCCTTCCCTGAGATGAAATTTGGGAGTGTAAATTGCTTCAGGAATACTATTCACCCCTAAATGTATTGTTTTCGGACTCAAATAGAAAGCTAATGAGCCCTGCCCAGATCCAGATATGTTGCATGGCAACCAACTAGGAAAAAGAGAAGGAATTATCTGATGGGTATTCTGGATTTGAGAACTGTTTTTTAAAAAGCATTCAGCCTATGGGAGGAAAGGAAGTATCTTTTTAAAGTAGAGATCGTTAACATTTTTCCTGATCTAGGTTGTGATTTTAAGGAGGATGTATCAGTATTGTGTGCAAGGATATCATTGTTAGATTCCTCTTGATTGCTAGTAGATTTTAATCCTGGTTTGCCCTAAAACATTAGAGTATGAAGACCTGATAATTATAGGTTTAGAGAAAGAAGAGGAAACACCTTTTAAGGACGAAACACTGGAAATCTCTGCTAACACAAAGATATTTAAGAGTGTACATAGTAGGTGCTCAACAAATTGAGTGAATGGGAAATTTGCTTGGGAGAGTCCAAAGTGAGCAGGAACTCTCTATTTCTACCTGTTACAAGCTACATTCAATTTTTAAATAAGGCCTTTCTCTTCTTCAGGCAGCAGACTGTCAAGAAGCCCGAAGAGAGCAATTTCTCTGACAAGACAAAGTAGCTCTTTTATACCAGGGGTCAGCAAACTACTGCCTGCGAGACAAATTTGGCCCCGCCCATTTTTGTATGGTACAAGTGAACAGTGGGTTTTACATTTTTAATGAGTTGTTAAAGATCGTGACAGAGACCTTATGTGGCTTGTAAAGCCTAAAATATTTAGTACCTGGCCCTCTGAAGAAAAAGTTTGCTGACCTCTGTTTTATACCATGAAGATTAACAAAAGTTTTAACCTTTGTGCAGCAGGTAAAAAGCAGCATGGTTAAGGAAAAAATGTGTTACCTCTGTACACTCCTATAACCGTGGCACTGGCAAAATTTTAAACAATATAACTTTTTAAAAAATAAACTTTATTTAAATCAGTGTCTTCTGATTTACTGTGATTCCTTCCAGCTACCCATGGAAATGAATTCTGTGTGGATAGTCACTTAGCAGTGTTGAATTTTACTTGATGCTTTGTTTTGCTTAGCCCCAATATCTCTACCAGTAGAACTTCTCCCTGAAATCCAAAAATTGTCTGCCTCAGTTTTCCTTTCTGTGAGGTTGGGTATTAGAAAGATTACCTTTGTTTTCTGAGAACTCAGTGAATTGGCTTTGAAGTACTATTGGAGTCTTAGAGCTTTATGTGGCTGTAGCAACAGTCTGTCTATGGATAGCATATGAGAAAGTCTTAGTAAAATCCCTATTTTGGATATTTTATTTATTCTTACCTTGACTTGAGTCTCTGCAGCAATGTTGGGGTATAACCATAGACCCCTTAAGGCTACTTGTTTTAATCTGCTCTAACGGTTAATTTTTTCTTCTGGGACTCTATTATGTATGTTAGTTAAGTGTACACTGGAATTAATGTTTAAACAGAAAAAAAGAATCAGCTAATTTGGCTTTGAGTAAGGTTATTCACTTAACTCAGGTGCTACTAAATCAGGTGCTACTAAAAAGGGACAACCAACTAAGTGGAGAATTATCTATAGGGTGACAACAAAATTTCAAAGAATTTTTGTGTTTGGTTTTTGTTAATAAACTAATATTTCATTTCTGACCACTGTCATGTAAAACCTTCCCCAGAATTATGACCTTAGCTTGCCTGGATTAGCATAAAGGCAGAGCAAAATTTCATTTTTAAAGGAGGAAGTTTATATCCAAAGATAACCAGAATGGTACTGGTTTATCTATCAACATTATTATGTGTTAATAGAAATGAAATTTAAAACTTAGCACCAGTTTTTATCAGTTAAATGAAATTTGCTTGGTTTTCTGACAAATGCAAAAAACAAAACTAGGTATTTTCAACAGAATAATTTATTTTGTTTTGAGAGACTAAATTAGTACAATATTTGTTTTTTTATAACATCCAACATGTCTTATGTCAAACTTAACCACTTTCTATGCAGTGACTGGTGGGGTGATCAATTTTATTTGACTACCTTCAATGTAATTCATTTGGTAGTTCTAAGGCATATCAGTGATCAAAATGTTTCTCCCCACAGTTACTCCTGAATTCTCAATCAGTTTCTTCCGCACATCATCTAAAAAAAATTTATCTGGTGTGATTACACTCTTTTTTTATACCAGGATTTCTAAAACTAGGAAAAACACCAACATTTAAAACATCAGTGTTTATAGTCAAGGATAGTTCAATTAAATTTCATAAGTACATTATATCATAGTTTAACTCATGCTAGAAATGTAAAAACCCAAGATCTGAGTCACATAATATCAACATTTCATATTAATGAATAAATTACTTGGGTTCCATACAAAGATATTAAGTGATGAGAAACAGAAAAAGCCAAGCTTTCAAGAGCACTTTAAAAAAATACAGAAGCAAACTCATGAACACAACTACACAAAATGTACACTAACCACTTGCAAACTAAACTGAAGATTAACCTTAAAAAATACATTTTAAAACTTCGTGATACCCTCATAAAAGGCAACAAACTAAGGGTATTAAGACAATAGTCATTATTTTAGTTACTGTGCATCAAATCTAAAAGATCCAGATAAAGGAAATGTTTTGTTTCGATTCAATTTAAATACTTTAAAATTGGAAGTATTTAATAATTGATAGTATAATTAAATTTTAAGAATATACACAAATGATTTGAACAGGTTTTATATTCAGTAACTTGCATGGTTTTTACACTGGCACTTTTATCACTAATTTAGGAGAATCAGATGCATTTCCCTCCTTAGGCACTAAGATTTCAAATTATAAATATGGTAGTATTTTAAATATTAAAATTTTACATGAATATTGGGTTCATTCTTATTTTCCTTTGTTTCCTAGGTATTATCCAGTTTTGTAAGGAAAACACTTTTATATCACAATCAAAACTTGTCTGTTACTAGACTGTAGCCATAATTGGGTTACAGTCATTTAGATTCATTATTTGGAATTATACTTACTAAGGCAGACCTAAATGAAACATCTTCTAGAAGAATTTCACATTTGCATTTACCTGCACTGCAGAATGGGTTTAAGCAATATTTAGATGTTAGGAAATATTTAATTTACTTAGTTAGGAAATATTTAATTTACTTAAACTTATCTTTGACCACTCAACTCCTAGAGTAGTCATCTTGAACTGAGTTCACTTTAAACTATATCTGATTCATTCTAAATAGATTTTTAAATAGAAGTTAGACTTCATTAAGGTATTAACTCTAAATCTGAAAGAAAATGCATTGGAATTTTCAAGTTTGACAAGTTCATTACAATTGTTGAGCATGTCTTGATACATTTACTTATCAGCTTTTTCTTTCTGCTGGCATTTCCTTAATGTTTGTTTGCATCACCTCTCTGATTCATTGCATTACTATTTATGCTTTCACGGACTTTATCTTCATAGTTGACTATATCTTGTAAAGCTTTTTCCACATCTGTTTGGCCAGCTGTATTGGCTGTTTTTGGCAAGGTCATCTGCAGTGCACACCACAGAGTAGTGCGTGCCTTCCGAGTAGCCACGCACATCTCTTTAATTGCTGAAGCAAGGGCAAAAACATCTGTAAAGGAAATAATCAGAGCCAGTTGACATTAGACACCACTAAAATTTTCCTTAACTCTTAAATCCCAGAACTGTGCTGCTAAATAATCAAACATTTTTAGAAAAGAAGGATAGGTATTGACCAAGCTAATCAAAGTTCTTAACATTTAAAAGTACAGTATTGACGCTTTATTTCTGACTCGTATGATGTCTATGCTTTCGGTAGAACACAGACTTTGTGATAGAATTATAATTAAACAGAGCAAGGTACTTTTGGAGTAGATTATGTGGGCATCATTTACCAATTCTTTAAAGTGTAAATCTTAGAAATCCAACCTTTTAACTTTAGAATCTGATTTTATTAACATTCAAATGAACTCACTGCCTTATGAATAGGATATGCAGACCTGACCTGTGTGGCTCAGTTGGATATCATTCTGCAAATGAGGGGTCACCGGTTCAATTCCTGGTCAGGGCACATGCTTGGGTTGCAGGTTTGGTCCCCAGATAGGGCACAGAGGGAAGGCAGCCAGTATGGAAGGCAGCCAATCAATGTTTCTCTTACAATGATTTCTATCCTCTATCCCTCTTTCTTCCTCCCTTCCCCTCTAAAAATTAAATAAAAAAATACACATTAATATTTGTACCTCTGTCATCCTGGCATCTAGGAACTCCTTGCTTTTGCCGATTTGAAGCATTAACAATTTCATCCTTTCTGCGTGACTGTACAATGTGAATGGATTCCAAGTGTCTATCAAGAGCAGTAGAGATATTGGCATGAAGGGGAGAGCTTCGAAGCCGTTCCATTTTGCCTAGTAGAGTTACAACCTGAGGGAAAGATTTTAAATTTTGATAAGGCGGGTAACCACAGTGCCTGTCATTAACTTATGTAAAAACAAATCTTCAATGAAGTAGAAAGCAGTAATAGTCAAATAACTGAATGCTTATTATGTCCTGACACCATGTTGGAGGCAACAAAGATAGAAAGTCAGTCTATTGTACCTTTTTTTTTTTAAAGTAGCGATAAACATCAATTTTGTTGTTTTCACTTATTTATGCATTCACTGGTTGCTTCTTGTAGGTGCCCTGGCAGATTGAATCTGCAACCTTGGCATAGTGGGATGATGCTCTAACCAACTGAGCTATCAGGTGGAAGGGGGGGTCCCAGAAAGAAGAAAACAGTTACCTCTGGGAGGGCAGGCTTTCCTAGCTAGGTTAGTGTTCTAGGAACCCATCCTTATCAGAGTACCAACTGGAATTGTTGAAAGAGGCTGCATTTGGTTTCAGAGAATTTTTTTGGAGACTCTTTCAACGTGTTTGCTCATTTCATGATGGGTGATTTACCACTGCACCTGCCCCAACCGTGCGGAATGTTAAGTTTTTGACCAAAAAATGGCATGACTCCAGTACCCCACCCTCCCTATTCACCCAATCTCGAAAGGAAATATTTTGCCAATGTGGAACAAAAAGTAGCAGAAGCACTAAAATCATCAAAATTGACAAGTTCTAAAACTGGTTGGAGCAGTGGAAAAAACGTTGATAGGTGTATTGCATCAAATGGAGAGTACTTTGAACATGACTTAAGTTTAAGCATGTAAGAATAAACATATTTTTAAATAAATTCCGTTTATTTATTTAAGGGAGTGAGGAGAGAGAGAGAGAGAGAGAAACATGGATGTGAGTGCGAAACAACCAAGGATATGCTTACTGGTTTCAGAGAGAGACAACCAGTTGGGGGAGAGAGAAATTGTGATTGGTTGCCTCCCATGTGTGCCCCAACTGGGGATGGAACCTGCAACCTAGGTATGTGCCCTGACCAGGATCTAACTGTTAATCTTTTGGTGTATGGAATGATACTCCAACCAACTCAGCCATGTGGCCAGGGATACACTGGTGATTTTTAATAAACTTTAAAAAAAATTTTATTTATTTGTTTTTAGAGGAGAAGGGAGGGAGAAAAAGATCAATGTGTGAGAAATACATCAATCAGTTGACTCTTACAAGCCCCACAACCCAGGCATGTGCCCTGACTGGAGACTGAACTGGCAACATTTCAGTTCACAGACCAGTGCTCAATCCACTAAGCCACACCAGCCAGGGCTTAATAGACTTTTAAAAAGAGTTCTTTTCAGAATTCTATAAAACTAGCAAACTAGAAAAGAGCATATGTGAAAATATTTCTGCCCTTTGTGTATTGATCTAATGTTGCTAAATATAGATAAAATTATTATAATAGCTATAAAAATAACCTAATTTAATGTGATATATTCCAAAGCTGATAAAATGTATTTCTTAATACCCACAGTTTGCAATCCTTTGATTTATTGCTGACAAGTATATAACTGAGAAAAAAGGAATTTTAACTTGGAATAGTTT